TGGGCAACCTGTGCCAGAGCCTCCCCACCCTCACAGTAAGGAATTTTTTCCTAATATCCCATCTAAACCTCCTCTCTGTCAGTTTGAAGCCATTCCCCTTTGTCCTGTCACTCCAGGCCCTTGTAAATAGTCTCTCTCCCTCTTTCTTGTAGGCTCCCTTCAGGTACTGAAAGGCCACAAATAGGTCACCCTGAAGCCTTCTCTTATCCAGGCTGAACAATCCCAATTATCTCAGGCTTTCAAAAGGGAAGAACAGAAAAAAAAAAGGTGATGGGGTGCACATGAATGCCCTTGTCATGACCCTCGCTGGATGCTGGCAGCTTCAAAATGGTGACAGCAGCAGCTCTGAAAAACCTCCTTGCTGTTGGATATTCCTTAAGGAACTAGAGGTAACCCTGAGGAACTGTGATCCCAAAACCCACCAGCAGAGCTCATCAGGGTGCAGGACCCCTCCCTGGCTCCACTTCGGAGCAGGATGTGAAATCAGAGGGAAGCATCTAAGAGCAGACTTTATACCCAGCTCAGGGGCTGATGGAGCACAGCACTGATGGCTGATCATTAGGGAAACATCAGGAACAAGAAGAAAAAAGGAAACTCGTACAAATAAGTGCTAAAAAAAAAAATCCTCTGGGAGACCTAGAAACCAGCAGCTAACTTGTCTGCTTCCAGCACAGCCAACAGAAGGTAGGCATTAAAAAGAAAAAATAATAATTTTAAAAGGCAGCCTGATGAGTTCTGGTCACCTTATACTCCAGACACTGAAATGGTCCCTTGCAAGGTGATGGCATGAGATGGAACAGGGCTTTTGCTTATTACTACTCACCAAGAAAGGCAGCTTATTTCTGCTGGAGCAGAGGCAGTGCAGAGAGCATTTACAACCCTCCCACTATGCAGGGGTGGTCCTGTCTCTGGTATCCCACAGCCAGGACTTTTACTGGCATCACTCACACAGCCTTAAGGGAGGGAAACCCATCCCTTTGTCAGCAGGACAGGATGCAGCTCTGCATCCTCTTCCCAAACCTGCATCCCAGATCCCCACGGGGCTGCCAAAGCCAGTGGGTGTTGTGGCCCTATTGAGGTCTGAGAGAGGGGTCAGTGCCAAGATAAAACGTGTCTGTGTCCCCCAGACCAACCCCTCCACCCCCCAGAGCCTGACAAACAGCCCCCATCCAGGGCCAATGCTGCTGGACACGGCCCTGGGCTGGGTTTAGCAGGAGATAAAGCAATAATTAAACAGGGACATGAGATGGTGTGGAACAAGGAAAAAAAAAAAATAAATCTCTCTTATGTTTTGTTAAATTCAGCAATTTACAAGGCTGGAATAATTAGTGGTTTAAAATGTTTTGACACAAGCAGCCCCAATAATCATGATAAATCATATCAGGCATATGCCCAGATCCTTGAAGTGACAGATGACAAACAGAGCAGTGACAAGACGCTCCATCACACGGGGAATCATTGAGTTAATGGAAGAATTATTGCTTCTGAAATCCACTCCAGTCCCATTGTGGGGAACATTCCAATTTATCAAAGCCAAATGAACATTAATTGCTGCAGCCTGCTAAGTTTTCGAGCTGCTGTGACCTTCATTGAATTTTAATCCAAAACAGATAAGATTTACTTCCACACAACAGGAAACAACACAATTAAACCCAAATGACAGCTGAGATTATGGTGAAAAAACACAACAGGCGTAATGACAAAAATATTGATTCCTTTCTACTTGACACTGTGCTAAAAAAAAAGGTAAATAAATAAAATCTTGCATTTGCATATTTGTTTGGGTTTTTTCCTCCTTTTTCTCTTCTTTTCATTTGGGAGACAAATTTCAGATACTCAAGCCAAGAGGAAAGGAGTGGCAGAGAGTAATGGAGACTGAATTCCCTTTAACTGCAGTAATTAATGTTATGTCTCATTGGGGAGAGATTAAGAAAAAACAGTTAGGAAAGGGGAAAAAAAATAAAAATTAAGTATTATTTTGCTGTCAAAGACGCCCTTGAGCTTAGGAAGGGAGGTGTGAAGAGGGTCACAGTCACTCAGTGCTTTGCAGGGGCAGATGGTGGCTGCAGGGACACGGGGCCACGGACACTGATGGCCCCTATCCCACTCCACTGGAGGCAAAGCCACCCCAAACCACAAAGCCACACACCGACAGCCCAAATCCCTGGAAGGAGGAGTAAACCCAGGATTTACACCTCCCTGCAGCCCCCAGGCAGAGCAGGAGCTACCAGCCAAGTCATAAGCACCCACAGAAACCCAAGCCAGCGTTCCCATCGGAGGGAGCTCGGCTCAGAGACATCTCACTGCCCCAGAAAGCTATGCCCAGTGCTCCCTAAGTGAGGGATTAGCCAGATCCCCCAGGCAAACCTTCCCCAGCTCCTGTAACTCAGATGGAGAAGGAGAAGACAAGAAAAAGCAAGTGTTACAACCACTTAAAGGGGATGGAAGGAAGCCCTTTCCCGTGTCTCCTGTCCTGCCCAGCGGGATGCTGGGCTGATGATGAACAGGCACACAGAGCCTGAAACCCCAAGGCAGTGCTAGGGTGGGCTAGAATTCCTCATCTGCAGCAGGAATGGTGTTTTAGTCTATAGAGAACACTCGGGAGACATTGGGCTTCATGGTGGGAAGAGGAAGGAAAAGTATTTGAGAAGCATCCCAGGGATGTCCAGCTGCATCTCGAGGCAAAAAGGATAAAGACACAGTTGGAATGGGAACAGGAGGGGATGCCCACAGCACCCCATGCCAAACACAGCATGGCCAGGGAACTCAAGTGATGAGGGCTTTCTGGGCTGTGAATTAGCTGGGGTCAAGGAACAAAGTAAAGGAGTGGGAAAGCAACCTGAACTGAGCCCGAGGAGCTGGGTGAAATATTCCAGCCAACATACAAATAATTGTGCCCATTTTATTTCAGCTACACAACTCCATGTGGTCTTAAGGAGGAAAAAATGAAAAATAACAAAACACACAATTATCTTTGCTGGTAACTCAAAACTTGGCTCAGGTTCACTCAAAAAGTTAATGAACCTTCTGAAAAATCTGGGCAAAGTTTCAAGCCTGTGCTGCAATCCTGATTCAGGGAAGGAATCTGCAGGGCTCTTGACTCCCCAGGGCCAAGTGTGCAGTCCAGATCCCATCCCAGACTCCTATCCCTGCCTGGAACCTTGGCTCCTGCTGCAAGGAATACCAGGATTGACAAAGAAAGCATAATTACAGCTCATTCTGTGTGGAAGGAATGCCTCCTTCTCTTCTGTCTTCCCGTTGGTTTTGCAGAAGGGAGGAGAGGCTCAGGGCAGGAATTAACTCTCACAACAAAGCCATGGATGCTCCCATGAAAATGCTTCCCATGGCATTGCACATCTTCACGGGCTGACCTGGGATCAGGGGGCAGAAACATTCCTGCTGGGATATGCAGAGCAATGCCATCACCTCCACCCCGCTGGCACCGCTGCTGCCGCTCTGAGGTGCAGCAAACGAAGGCTCTGGGCAGCAACTTCTCCCAGGAACTTTCTCTCTAAGCATCAACCCACTACAATCCTGTTGTATTGTAGAAAGAGCAGCTTTAGCAAGTGCTGTGGATCAGGACTGAGTCCCTCCCCACTAAAGAAAACCTGCATTTCGAGCAGGAATCACCAGTCTCCAGAGACAGTGTCTCCCTCCAGACACGGGCCGTGTCTCTGTAGCTCAGGTTTGCCACAACAGCCAAACAGTCCCACACTCAAACCAGGATCGAGCTTTTCACACCTACACGTGTATTCCCGTTGTCTTCCTTCCTTGCTCTGTCTCTCCCTTATATATTCAGGCTCATTTTCCAAGTATACAAGTTTAACCCTTCCTCCATGTGGCAATACTCCATCCCACTGACATCTTTAGCAGGGCATAAAACCATTCCCCATCCAACCCAATAAGCTGCAGTCCACAATTCCTTTTCCTTCTGCCACCCTACATCTTATCTCGCCCAACAGCCTCAATGCCAAGCCTCTCTCCATGCTCACACACAGTGCCCAATCTAAAGCCCCACTGACAAATGCTTAGACACTCAAAAAAACCAGATTTAAGTTGTAAAAGCCAAATATCCACTTGTAAAATGAAAAAAAGTACAGATTTTGTGCACTGTCTCTGTTCCTCCTTCCAAAACAAAGGACAGAAGCTGTGGAGATGATGCACAGGTTTCAAGAGATGAACAGTTTCACCTTTTGCAGGGTGGCTGTGATAGGATCCCCAGTGCCATAAGAGGCTTTCTCTGGGCAAACAGATGACATGCACACACACTGGACATACAAACCTAACTTCTTTTTTTCTTTTATTCACAGTTTATCTGATGGGACTTAAGGGACAGTACCCTGAGTCTCATTTCATGGATGGAGCTCTAAAACAGAACACTGATGGATCAGATCCAAATATGTTGGCAACCACCTCATACAGTACCAAAACAAGCACTTCAAAAGGCAATAGAGCACATCCACAACCTGTTAATAAAAGGTCACAAACACCTGAGATGGAGATATTGAAAGCACCTGGACCCTCTTTTTACTTTTAGTTCAGACTTGTCCTTTGCAAGAGATGCTGCAGCCTCTATTCACTGAACAGGTAAAATTCAGTTTCAGAAAGAAATGACCAAGTCCAAAATCTTGCTTTTGAACAGATCAAAATGCAAGACCAAGGAGAAATACTCCACTGACACCTCACCACTTTCCAGCAGAGACAAAGAGGAACCACAAGGATCCTTGTCACCCTCCCAGCAGCTTTTTCCCCACTCTCTGTTGCTTGATTTTGTTTCATTTTCTCAGAAGACCAGACACTCTTTTTTTTTTTTTTTTTCTGGCCCATTCAAACACATCTCTCCCTTTCTGGAGACCCAGCCAAGAAGGGACACAGACATTTGCAAACCAAACTTGCCACCATGCTCCTTGTCGCCCGCCTCTTACCACGACCTGGCCGCCAGCCCCCTCCTCCAAGGGGGTTCTCTGTCCCCTCCGATGCCATTGGCAGCTTTGACTCACCATGACTGAGATATGAAGAATGTGCATCTGCTCCTCCACTATCTCCGAGGGCTCCTGGAGGCTGGGGGGGGTGGCCCGGGAGAGCTGCTCGGCGCTGCTCATGGAGACGTGGAAGTACAGGGTGCCGTTCTCCAGCCACTGCTGCTTCCAGTGCACCAGCGAGATGTCAGCCACGGTCCCCGACATCTCTGCAGGGGCAAAACACACGAGGAGGACGTGAGGATCAGTTGTTTTTTTCCACAACGCTCAAAGGTATTACTCTAAACGATCCAGGAAATTGAGATTGAGTTTTACCCCGGTACTGGTTCTATATCATCATCTACAGGATGAGCTGGAGCATTATTTTTTAGCCTCTGCCTGCTATTTCCCCCAAATGTGAACAGTAAAGTTTGTCTTCCTTAATAAAAAGCAAGGGGCTACAGAGTGCTTTGGGATTTCTAGACTAGGAAGGCAGCAACAGTAAAGAACACATTACACAGGTTGCCTTTAACCTCCTATAGCTCTCCAAGGAAACAGGCTGGAAGGAGCTCCCAAGGACCTGCAGCCAAGCCCAAGGGAGCTTTGTGAGTCAGCACAGGGAGGACACTCTGCAGGATGCAGACACCAGTCCACACTTTGCTGGCATTACAGTGGAAACCTTCCTCCAGGTGCAAGGCAGCACCTCAGCTGTACTGAACAGGGATGTTCCCAGCACAGACCACGAGCACCAGGCTTAACAAATATCTATTGACCTTGGGGTTGCATCTCTTGGTCACCTTCTGCAGCTTCTGTTGGTTTCACATCCCACCTAACTCTGATTTACACCACAAGCACCCTGGGAGCTGGGATTACAGCACCCCAGCACATCCACTATGTCGGCCTCCCCGACCTAGGGCACTCCACCAAATCAGGGGCTTGGACAACACAAAGGGCAGCCCCAGACCTGCAGTCCCAGCAGAGGCAGCACCTCCCAGCCTCAGCTGCAGCTCCTGCCTGGGCCAGGAGCACTGACAGCTCCTCAGCTGCCCATCACGTTGCAAGCGGATCTGCACAGAGCAGATTTGGCAGTTTGGCAGCTGAATCAAAACCCAAAAAAATAAAAAACAAACCCAAAAAAACAAGCACAAAAGGAGCCAAAATATTTCTCCTTCCACCACCTCTTTTTTTTTTTTTTTTGTGTGTTTGTTTTCCCATTTGTGATATAAGCAATGGGAAGCAATTCAGGTCCTCTTAGTCACTGGGCCCACAGCGTCGGCAGTCACCTGCTTTGAGGGAGACCCAAATTCAATTCCCTCCTGTTTGGGAAGAGCAACCAGCTATAACAGAGCACAAACACACTGTCTGCAGGTGTGTCTGCTCCAGAACAGCCAAGAGTACGAGCTCAGAGACTCCTGGCACCACGGTGGGCACAGAGACAAGGTCCTCCTTCTCCTCCACACCTTGGCCACAGAGGGTCAAGCAGGGAGGACAGGGCTTGTTCCCCTGTTGGCAAAGCAGCCAGGGAATGGTGGTGGCATTTGGCATTTCATTATCCTGAACCCAGCTGGGCAAAAGCACATCCAGGAAGGAACAAACCCAGCTGAGTCTGTCCTGAGGAGTCACCCACACCTTGCAGGAAAGATGCTTCAAGACACTTGGGTGCTGGCTGGTGAGGAGCCACTCAGGCTACAGGAGCAGGCATTTCTACTTCTACACACCCACATCAGAACCCAACAAAAAAACCCTCTTGATCTTTCAGGAGCAGTTTTTCTCACCCCTAAAAATCAATACATTTTCCAGTAGCAAGCTCCAGGCTTTCTATCATGGATCAAAACAGAGCCAACCAACCTGCTCACAGAGCAGCCCCCATCATGCCACAGCAGGTCCTGCAGGATCCTCTCTTGCTGCAGGGCTGAGGGCAGGGACAAGGTCACTCCATTACTGCCAACTCCCAGATTCAGCACCTCACTTTTTACCCTGCTGACACACCTGAGCTGCTGCGCTGGCACCTCCATCTCATCAGAGGAGTTTGCTCATTGCCTCTGCCCTCCCGGCACAGCTCCAGTCCTTATCCCCAATCCCTGTGGGCACCTGAGCACCCAACAGAGAAAAACCAAACAGCTCCTAATCCTGCATGGATCCATCAGGAGCCCACACTTGTCCTTCAGGGGGGACCTGTGAGCTCCCTGTCACATCTCTGTCACTGCTGTGACATCTCTCCTAATGACCCTTCCCTCCTCTAATAAAAAGAGCTGTTTGCTGGAGCAAATCAGGAGCAAGAGGTGTTGTTGCTTGCCCTCTGTAACCTGTAAATCACAGCAGCCCCGAGGCTCTCACTGCAGGACAGCGGCTTCTGCAAGATCTGGGAACCTCACGAAATGAGTCTTGTGTCTCTTCATCCCAAAAAGGCTAAAGCAGAGGGTTTCTTACAGCAGTAAAAGAACAAAATGAGAGGAGTATCAAGGCTCCTTAATTGCAATCGCCTTCCCAGCAATACTTCAAAGGTCTGTACAGAAAAACATCTCCTTGTCTAATTAAAATCAAAACAAATGCTACTTTTAGGAGCAGAAGCACTCGCTCATCTCTGCAGTAGAAATCCATGATCATCCACAGAGGCAAACAGGGCTTTGGGAGAGCACAGAAGCATCAAGGGACAGACTGTTATGCAAAGCCATAATCTTAATTCTGTCCAGGGGGACAGCCACCCACAGGAGGGGATGATTTACAGCATTACACACTCATCACACACACATCCCTGCAGCAGACCTTCCCAAAAGAGCTCAGGAAGGAGGTTATATCACCCACAGCATAGACCCCACGTGGGTGCCACCAGGACCCCACTGCTACAGTTCCAAAGGCTACATCACAGTAGGGAGGCAGGGAAAAGAAAACCTCCAGGGTCAATCTTTCTCCAATTTTTTTTTCCCTTACACACACATTTTTTTTTGCATGGGACGTTTAAAAGGATCACAGAGAACATTTCTCAGGACTTCTGAAATATAGGCAATTTTTTGGATTTTAGCCTAGACTGAAGATAAGCCTGTTTCATTTTCAAAAGGTCTCTTCCAAAAGTAGAAACTTCAATTTAACATTCATTTCACAATTTTAAGCAAACCCAGTAACCAGGCAGTTTGTGACAAACACTGACTTGCCAAGCCTGGATACCTGTTCCCAGACATTTATAAACACCTGTGTGCTCAATACCCCCTGAACCCTCATTGCAGGACACTTATTACCCCCCCAGCATCACCAGGACATGATGAAACTCCATCAAATTCACTACTCACAATAAAAAAAAAGCCTTTTCAAGCCCTGTAGCTGCTGAATTCTTCAATATCCAAACACAGGGAAGTTTCTTGGCCTCGTGTACTTGACACAAATACTCCACTGCCTGTGTTTCACTGGACACACGTTGTCACTCCTCTATCTGCACAGTACTTACAGCACTGATAGCCCGTCCATCAGAAGGGATGTAATAGTCTGCAGCAAGATTGCCTGTTATCAGAGCTTTCCAATGCTTTTGGAACAAATTAAGGGCATTCCTGCACCAAAATTGAATGAGATACAGTTAAGGTTTTAAATGGGCAGCAATGGAAAAAGCACTTGTGGACTATAGCTGTTTAAAATCTCAGTATCCAGCAGATGGGGAGCTCTCAGATGGGGCTCAAACGCAGCTTTGTGGGTAAAACACCGAGTAAAACAGCCAAACAGATCATAAAACATCTGCCATGCCATCTTCCTACCTGCTCACTGTGCTCAGCAGCAGAGAAGGGATATGAGGGTCCTCATTCCCTGCAGCAGCCAGCCAGACTCCTTCCCTTCTCCCCGTCCAAAGGCCCCAGGCAACCACATTTCTCCATCCCAGAGCAGAGGATCCAAGGACCCGTTCCCCCTTGCAACACCAGCAGAAATGGCTCCACTCCAGCCTCCCCCAGCTGCCTCCTCAGCTCTTCACACCTGCCCTGCATTTCCCATCAGGCAGCTCAGCTGAGCTCAGGGGCAGCACCCACCAGCCTTCAACACCACCTGAGGATGGTTTGAATTTAAGAAAAGGGCACACAGGGCATTTTCTCCGTTTCTGCCCTTCCTGAAGCTCTGTGCCTCATAAAACTACAACTTCCAACGTTTTCCTTGGAAATAAAACAAGCAATCCAACTAAACCCTTCTTAAGGCTCAGTCCCCAATGTGAGTTCGTGCTCATCTAGGACAAGGCAGGGGACAGCAGTGACCACAGCAAGATCCCTTCCAAACAATGCTCTAATTCCATTTTTCCCTTTGCTGTTGCTACAAACCTTACATACAAACATTTCATTGAAGTCTTCAAGTTGTATTACAATCAAACTTAAAAGCAAAAGGGCCTAAATGCATTTGGTTGGGGACCAAGACGATTCCCATAAAAGCAGATTATGCTGACATGATGAATATAAAACGAAACAGCAGATATTAAAGTTGGAGGATTGTTACTCCATGCCTTCGGGCTACTGGCCGTCCTACCCACCTCCTCCCTCCTCTCCCCCCTCCCACTGGCTTTCACTGAAGGCAGAAAAAGCCTTTTCACCTCTGCCTTCTCCAAGGAAGGCTGCCAGGCTTGAAATATTCACTATCTGCCCCCAGTCCCCCCCTCCCAGACCTTATGCAATGCTTCAACATTCATCAGTTATTCGGGAGGCTGCAGCCCTGCCTTCTCTGTCATGGCGTTTTACAAAGCCCGTTTTGTATTTAATTGGCTTGTTCTCGCTAATCTACCATGATTATTGTATTTTTATTTCATTCTTGAAGGTCATTATTAAAATAAGCCGTTTTGCTTACGGCTGCTCATCCCCGCACAGCTCCCCGCCCCCGGATAACCAAACCCTCCTTGTGCTTCCTCCCCAGTGCTGCTCAGACCCTGGGACCTGCTGGGCTCCCTTCCTATAAGTACCAAGTCCTTGGTGTGACGGGTGAGAAGCCAGTGAGTAATTTCCAGTGCACGGATCCAGGCTCCTCCTGCCTTTTTTCCTCCCCACCTGCTTCATCCCAGCAGGACCTGCACCCTGCAGCCAGGCGTCATCAGCTCACCTGCACAACTCAGTGTCTTAATCTGCTGGCAGAGCAAAAGCTGGAGATCTGTTTAGGCATTGTATTTCCTTTTACAACCTTGGCATCCTCTTCTTGCCCATTCATCACCCCTCATCCCGCAACCCCATTCCTCCCGCTGTTATTCCAGGGGCTCTTCTGAGTTAATGTTCTC